TATAACAAAGGGGAGAAGAGAGATGGGGCTGTCGGTGATCTAATATGTAAATAAAACACTTCCTGGTATGAGTAAAGAGAAAATTGAGCCTTGAAGACACTGAACTTATAGCAGAAATTAGGGAGAAAAAACAAAGCGAAAAGTACATGTCCTTTATCCAATTAAATTTAATTCAGGAATAGGTATAACCTATTGTAAACCAGTTGAAACTGCATTTTTATGCCTTCTTTCTTGCCTTTGTCAAAAGCATGACATAGAGAATGAGCATTCTTTGACTTAGTATATGCCATCGTTAAAAGCATCAGATGCAAATTCTTTAAGGAGAATGTGAAGAAGCTGCTGCAGCAACAGAGTGAAAATGCCTGAGCTCTGGTTCTCTGTGTCTTTTCTGGTTTATGCAGGTTAGTTGGAACCAACTGCAAATGTCTCATCTCCTTTTGGGCCAAGAATCAGTAGGGGAGAAAAGCCAGGGATAATTACATGACTCTGCCCTCTGGGAAAACGTTTTTATCAAAAACATTTCCAGATAATGCAGTTACTTCTATAAACCAAAATCTTGAAGTCTTTATAACAGTGCTGGAGTTTTAAATTTGTAGTACTACTCATGCTGCATTCATCCACTTACGGCGTTAATCCACTTGCCTATATTTTATATTCTTTTAAAAAGAAACTGAATATTTTGCATGAACTACTTGTATTTAAAGGCATATAAAAGAAACAGAATACAATAAAATAAGTAACTCTGTAACCAAAGTATGTTTCATTTCACAGCTTTCAAGAATCTAACAGATGGGTTTGACAAATATTTGAAGGGGCTATTTCAGTTATTCTTTGACTAGTATTTTTATAACTGCCCAAAGCTAATTTTAACTTATTTTGGGTTATCTTAGATTTCTGATTTGCCATAAAGTTTCTTAAGGTAGTGAGGAAATGTGACTCTTTTGTGGAGGAGTGTATCATTGCATCAGAACTTGGCATCTATCTGGGCTAAGAAAACTATCTGTTTCTTCCCTAGGGAAATGATTCTAGAAGGTAACTGGTTTCTATGTAGTGTACCCTCCAAGATTAAGTTTTTTAGTTTAGCTTGGCCTGACGCAAAACATTTCAGGATATTTTAGGAGATCTTGGTATTCTAATTAATCTTATGAAAATAATACTAAAATTCATTCTTTCTTTCGCTGTCCTTAAAGTATATGGTGTTCCCTCCCTTACACAGCTCCATCCCTGCACTGGCAGTGGCAATTGTCTACTGTGTCATTAAGGGGGACAAAGACTGGCTCGGTGCCATTCTAAGGGGTGGTGGGAACTGGTGTCTTGTTCCACCAGAGGCAGAGCAGGCGGGGTAGCCCTCCTTGTGGAAAAACTCTCCCAAGACCTGAGGACTTTTTGTGAAGAAGAGGTGAATTTGGTCAACACCAGCAAGCATTTGCCTCCTGTCACAGCGGCCAAGGCCGTGATTCAGTAGTTGTCTTCAAAACCTGTCAAAGCAAGACCAAGGAATGGGTGTTTGCAGTCATCAGGGCTCCATATGGAAGGATCTCAACAGCCTTTCGGTTCCTGGGGAGGAGGAGTCAGTAACTGAACTCCAGCTTAGAAGATGGCCTTCCCGATCTCCTGCCTAGGGAAGGAAGGCACTGGCAGCTACAGCAGACTATCACTAATCTAAATACCTTGGGTCAACATCACTGGTCAGATGGTTGAAAGTTGGTGTTATTGAGGGGTGCTCCCTTGTGTAATATATATTCTGCAGACACTCAGGAGATTTTTTCCTCTGAAAGTGGAAATATTGCCACAGCTGTAATAAAAGCTGTTCAAGACTGCACAAGTAAAGCACTGTATGCTTCCTACCTTGCAGATGTGTGTTATTTTTATATACTTCTTGGTTTTATTTAATTCCTATTAAGTGTTTGTGTTGATGAGTAATTAGAACCAGGACTGGAATGCCATCCTTTTGAATAAGCCATTATTTCGTTTAGATTTTTGTTTTTTTCTCCTAAAATCCATTCATATTTCAAGGTACTGGAAGACAAAACATTTTGATGGCCATCTTTGCAGAATATATCCCTGAATGAATGAGGAAGTAGTAATTTTAGTTAGCAAGTGAAAAAAAAAGTGAAGGCAGTGCAGTGAGCTTAGTTTTCCATTTTTATCTGTCATGGATGTAAATAATTCAAACATAAGCATGGGAAGAAGTTGGCAGTTTGAAACTGTGACTGCATGAGTCTCATAGGATAATGTTAAAATTTCCTGAGTGCTTCAATTTGACATTCTTTAGGAAAAGGTTGTTTTTGCTGAAGTATAACCAATTAAAAATTAATGCTGTTTTTCACTGGGCACCCATGCTAAACTAGAATGTTCATGTATTTCATGTGTATGCTTATGTAATTAAGCATCCACTAATTTCTTTCTCTTTGGGAAATACTTCTGCAAATCAACACTCCACATATGAAGAGTTAAGATCATATCATCTGTAGTTTAAGGTAAGGATAAGGACAGACATTATTATTATTTTATAATAGATTCTTAATCCTTTGTTCTGTGAAGTGTTGACGTTTTCATTAGAGTTAAAATATGTTGCATGTTTACAGAAAACCTGAAATCTCAATATGTGGTCCTGTCAATTTTAATTATTTGAATCATTAGAACATCTAATTTTTTGCTTAAAGGTACACAAATGTACTACTGAATCTGTTTTTAAGGTTTTTTCCAGTTTAATGTCTGAATCCAAATTCATAAAGAGTTGGAAAAATGAGGTGTCTGAGCCATAGGATTCACAGGGATTTTATATGAAGCCTATTTAATCAGGATAACACTGTTATTAATATTCATAAAGTCAGCTGGAACACAAATGACAGGCTATGGAGCCTAAAATTTTTTACTTGTGAATTTATTAAAAGCAGCTTAAAAAATTAATGGAATTTAAGTAAAGTTGACGAAAATGAAAATCTTATGTTAGCAGAAAAAAATCTTTATTAGAACTTTCTCTAAGACCATCTTGCATTGATATCTTTGACAGATTTCATTGGTACTTAAAGAAGAAAGATGCATGAATGGTCATTTAAAAGGATTTAAACACATTGGCACATTAATTTTTACATGAATAATAAGTAGTTTCCAAAAGCAATTAACTTACAGTGTACAAGATTTGAATAGAAAAATAGGACTGTGACATCAAAGGGCAAAGCAAATGTGCTGTACATTTTAAACTTTTAATAATACGACTTCTTAAAATAAGTTATTTCATTTCCATGGTAGGTAAAGTAACAGTGAAGGTATTTGTGTACAGCTTGGGTATGTTTTGAAATACACAGAGATCTGGAACAGAGAAATATTTTGCCAAATATGCCAAAGTGCTATTGGTAAAGAACAATTTCAGGCTTTTACAGTGATAAGGTGCTTTTGAATCGAGCTTTCTTACAGTCAATTTCTGTGTATGGAAAATAGTCATACACTGACCACAGCGTATGGTTTTTCCCCCATGCTGCTATATGTAGCACTAGGAAGCATTTATTTCTGTAGAGGGCAAAATAGGTAGATCTGAGATTTCTTTCATTAGTAGGAAGATGCTGGTTAATTTATATTCATTTTTTTAGGTAGTTTTGTACGTAAATATTTAGTGTGAATTTTACGTGACTATTGCATATTATCTTCAACAGATAAGAACAATTTTTTTTTTTTAGCTTTCTATGCATGATGTTCAAGTAGTAGTCTTAACCCTAACGCAGGTTGAATGAATAGGTAGTGAATAAGGAAATAGGTATTTAAAATTAACTCCAGATTTTGCGTTACAGTTTCATTTCACATTTTCATTTTTGTCTCGGCCCACCAGTATACTTTATTTTAGTCTCCAGCTTTAATTTCTTTTGATTATTAGACAGATTGATTATTAACAGATTGTCTTCAAATGAAAGTAAAGCAAAGCTTTAAAATAATTGCATTTAATTTTTCTGATGATTCCTCCTGGGAAAATCTTCGTGGCCAGCTTCTGGTTGTTGTTGATGTGGCGAAGTATAACGCTGTCTGAATAATGATGGTTCAATAAGTTTTGGTTCTAAAAATACCTTATGTTCAAAGTACCTACTGTAAAGGTACATGTTGAATGATATGTAAGTGTTGTGCATAAGTTAGATACCTATTGCAGCGTTAGAACAACCAATTTACATACTTAGTGTATGGAATATTTTGTTGTTCTATTCACTGACATTTTTATTTCTAATAATAGGGAAAGTATACTGCAAACAGAAAGACCCAAAAGGTCTTTGTTTGACTTAGGTTGCCTTAATCTGATATCAACAATATTGTTATTTTGTCTATGTGTAAACCAGAAAATTCCTATTAATTAGCAGAACAGATTTCACTTACGAAGACAAAGTCTCTTCAATGAGCCTCTTGACTTCTGTCTCCAATTATTCCCGTGCCATAGTCTATTATTTCCAGGAGAGGGCAGCATTTTCCTACATCAGGTACATGAAAGGACATGCCCTGCTTAGACTGTCAATGTTTCTTGTAATTACTCCCAGTATATTTGTTGCTTGCTTATGAATTAACTTGCATTTATGGAACTAAATCATTCCAATCATTTAATTACACCTGAGGAGCTGAACTATAATTGCTTGCTTCCAACTAGGATCTGATATGGCTTGAGCAGTATTAATTTGGTGTTTACTTTTCTGAGTGCTAAAAGCATTAAAATGATTGTGCAATGGGATTACATTTTACTAATTGCTGGCATTCATTAGCTGGGTAAATGGTAAGGAAGAATGACTGTATATTGTGGAGGGATAAAATTATGGTTTTAAATAGTATATTACTAGGCACATTAAGGCCCTAAGACATGTTTTAAAATACTCCAGAGGTTATTAAATACCGTATTTTCTTCATGTCTTGCTATATGAATATCTTATTAAAATACTGCAATTATTATGAAC